TCAAATTATTTATACAAATATTCATTCATAAATCCCATTACTAAACAAGGCAAGCAAGTATTCATTCACAAACAACAAGTGTAAGAAAAGCTCAAGGAAAATCCGCAGAACAGTAGTAGCCACAGAGTTTGCATATCCAAGCATTCCGAGCCCCGATCTGCCACTTCCAGTCGTCATCATCCTTCCGGCGAGCGATTATCTCTTTCACAATGGCCCTGTCCCAGTCTGCATCAATCCCGTCACAACATCTATAATCGAAGCCATTCTCGCCGAGCAAGTAACGCTTGGTTTTTTCTTTGCACGTCAACTCGCCGGCGGCCACAGGTGGTACGATTGCAGCTGCACAGAGAACGGTACTAACAATAGCCACCATCCAGATCAGCTTTCTGGTCGCTAATTCTCTTCCAGATAACATCATGCTTAACTTGTTATGGTACTAATCAAGAGATTATAATGTCAATTAATACAATCTGTTTGGATATATATATATATCAGAGCATTCAACATGGATTTAGCTATATATATTGATGGAGGGTTTTGATGACAGGCTGGGGTTTATTTCTTCTCTTCTAACAGTCGTAATTAGGGTTTCATTAGTGTATTTAATTTCCTTTTGGAAATGTGGTTTGGGCATTTAAGTAGGCACAAAACGGAAGCTATAGCTATAAAAGCAAACTAGAGAAAACCTAACGTTTCACTTAGGGCCTGTTTATTTTCATTTCTGTTTCCTGTTTTTTAGAAAACATATGTTGAAAACAGTTGAAAACAACATTTTGTCGTTTTCGAAAACAGTATGAAGTTGTCACTTTCTGTTTTCATAGTTGGAAATGAATAGAAAACATAATGAAATGTAAACATGTTTTCTCATTTCGGTTGCCAAATTTATGACATGAAAACAGAAAACAGGAAACGAAAATGGAAGTGAACAGGGCCTTAGTTTGCGTTTGGAGTATAGGAAGATTTGGTATTGTTGTTATTATATGAAATTGTTGTGTAATATAGGGTAACAACGACCTATTTCTCCCTATCTCTTTGTAACATATATTAATGTGATTGCGGTTTGCACCAAACCATCAATAGGTCTATGCGCGATTTCCCGTCAAGTGTTTTACTCATTGTTAAAAACTCTAAACTTCTTGAAAAGTAACGATCCTAGGACGTTTCTTGGATACAATCGATAATTAAAAAAGTTTAGTATTTATGATCTTATAATGGTGTCCAGTTGAAATTTGTGCATATTATTTGAGATGATGGTTTGTTTTAAAACAAAAAACTTGGACAATTATGATATTTTGATGATTTTCCTTTTACTTTTATGATGAGCATAATTTCATGAACTTTGATTAATTTGTCAACATATAAAAGGCATTCATCCTAACTGATTTCAATTACTGACATCGAACAAAATAAATGTGTGGTAAATCTTTTAAGAAGACTCGAAGTCCTTCCTGAAGGCAACGTCGTCATGTTTGTTTTTCGAGAAAATTTATAAAATTAAAATAAAAAGTAGCAACTTCGACTGTCGAAATCAAGCTGCAAAAATAAATCGTCTAATCATTTCCAATGCAGCTCGATTAAATATTTAAACCTAATTAAATAATTATCCCATATAAAAACAATTCAACCCCTTCATAAATTTAGTAAATCCACCAATCCTCTAAGCTTCTCATCTACCTTATTCTAAAATCCCAAACTAATATTTCATAAGGAAAAATGAAAGTCACACTAAAACAATAAAAATTTAGAAGAAGAAAAAAACCCAAAGCTAGAGCTTATCTAACTATCCTGAGATCCTCCAGCCTTGGCGACCAACCCAAACCCAAGTGGAAACAGCGGGTCATAATTCTTGTCGCCGGCGTTCATGGGCAATTGATCCACCGACTTGAACCAAGTCCGAGGAAGCTTTCCGGTAAACTCATAGTCCCCAAACAACACGTCAGCAACCCCCTGCCCTTCCGTCCCGGGCAGCCAAGCCGCCACGAGCGCCCTCGCCTTGGGCAGGTAGGGTTGAATCTCGAGCGGCCTGCCCGACACCAAAACGACGACGCATTTCACCCACTCGCACACGTTGTAAATAGTACCGCGCCCTTCTTCCGATATCGTCAGGTTGGCGTCGTCTCCCTGTGACCCGGCATACGGCGTCTCCCCGACGACTACGATCGCGTAGGTGAAGTTGCTGGACTCGAGGAAGTCGGCCGGCGGGTTTGTGTGGTAGAAGATCTCCGTCGTGGGATCCACGGCGGAGGTGATGGCGCTCAGGATGGTGGTTCCGGCGGTGATGTTGTTTCCGGTGAGGCCTTGCTGGGACATGGTCCACCCGCCGCATTGGTAACCCAAGTTGTTGGCGTGTGTTCCGGTCACCAGAATCCTGGAGCTGTGTTTCGGAAGAGGCAGCAACGGACCTGTCTCGTTGTCTCCGTTCTTCAGGAGCACGAGCGATTTCCTGACGGCTTCTCTTGCCAGATCTCGGTGAGCCTGAAATGTTTCAATCCGAGCGCCGAGTAAGATCAATGATATCGTAGGACTGGGAAAAATAGATCTGACCGTTAGAAGATCGCGAAGAATGGTTTGGATCTGCTGGTTCATAGTCTGTATTATGCAAAAAAAATTGATCTCTTGGTTCGGTCTGGTCCATACCGTATCATGGACCCAACCAGCTTTTCGATTCGTATTAGCAGCCCGACCCCTCGACTACTCCCTCTCACGACACGCTCCCCAGAGAGACCTAGTCTCAATGTTGATTTTGAGAATCTATTACCCTTTCCTTCATTCCGCAAGAGTGTTGAGACGATCGCATTTTCATATGGAATTATGTTAATGTAACGTTATATGGTGGAAGTTGGGTGGCTATAATTTTGTCTCGTTGTCATTTACTTGAATGTATAGTGCCAAAATTATGCATGCATGTCGGAATTTAGGTTTCGAGGCAAAAAAAAAAAATGTTTTTTCTCGATTGTTTGTTTGATTTTTTTATGTGATGGGTCAGTTTTGTTCAACATAGTGTATTTGGCCCAGATCCTACTAGACCAGACCGCACATATCTGATTTAAACTGTATAACATTTGGTCTGGTCTCTGATTTGTGTCCTAACTTCTTGATCTTAACCGTAAATCATTTATGTAACCTCAGCTCAACCATACCGCACCGTTTGCCAACTAGAAAGATCAAAATCTCATGAAGGGTGAAAGGAGATTATCAAACCTGGCTTCCAAGGTGATCCACATGGGCCTCGTCGGCCCAAGGATCCTCAAAAAGGCCCATAGCGTATTTGACCCTCAGGATTCTTCCAACAGCATCGTCAATACGCGATATGGGGACGGCCTTCAGGTTGACAAGCTCCGTCAGGACGTCGATGAACATGGTGTGATTCTCAGGATCCATGACCATGTCGATCCCTGCTGAAATTGCTCCCCTAACCGACTCAGTGTAGTTTGCATTCTTGTCGACGCCTTTCCAGTCGGAGATCACAAACCCCTGCCAAAAGTGACATTTTCACAATTGAAATACAATCTCAAGTAAAAACTTTGCATGCAAACTCGATCATTGTAAATGACAAACGGACCCTGAAATGGAGGGTGTTCTTGAGGAATTCAGTGACCAGAAACCGGTCATTGTGGATCTTCTCCCCATTCCAGCTGCTATAAGACGTCATGATCGTCGAAACGCCCTTGATCACCGACGTCATATAAGCCGGCATATGAACGCTCAGCAAGTTGTGGAAGCTGCCCACTGTGTCCTCCTTGTCCACACCATTCTTCGTCCCACCATCGCCCACATAGTGTTTGGCGCAAGCCGCAACCTTGTCCCTGTTTCCATCGTCCAAAAACAGAGCATCAGAAGAAAACCCCTGTTTTTCCTCTGTTTCGACAGTTGGTAGCTCTCGTTTGATCTTAAATTACCTTCCCCCGACGAAAGGAGAGCCTGTTTTCCAGTCGGAAGGCATGTCTCCTTGCAACCCTGGTATGATCTCTGTCATTTCTCTCACGATCGTAGGATCCTCGCTGTAGCTCTCGTAGCATCTTCCCCATCTGGGATCCCTACAAACCTGCCATGGATGCAGAGTATATATGAAAAAAAAAAAAGATGAAATCTTTAAGCAGAAACAGAGTAAAAACAGTGTAAAAAACAGAGGAAAACAGAGTGGTGGAATGTGTGTATAGGTTTGAGTAGTGTACAGCAACACAAGGAGCAAACACGTAGTTGATCCCAGTAGCTCTAACTTCCAATGCTGTTGCAGCGCCAATCCTCCTCACTAGGGCAGGATCCCTTTCAAGAATTGGAAACTGTTAGCATTCATTTTATTGAGAAAGGGTTTTTACAGAGTGGGGGGTGAAATGAAATCAGTGATACTATTACTAACCTGGTGGCGCCGAGGCCGACATTGTGAGGGAAAATGGTGGCTCTGTAGGCAGTGTTGTGGCCATGGACGGCGTTGATCCCGTACATCAACGGAATCCCAAGCCGGCTGGACATCGCCGCAGCCTGCAGCTCGTTGATCGTCTCAATCCACTCCTGAGGAGTGGCCGTCGGGGACGACGAGACGCTCCTCTCTCCGTCGCTGTAGACACTGCCGATCGAGTAATTCCTGACGACGTCAGGACTCGCTGCTCCTCGCTCGATCTGGACCATCTGGCCGATCTTCTCGGGCAGGGTCATTCGGTTTAGCAGGTCCCTGATCCGGAGATTCATCGGCTGCGTCGAGTCCTTGTACCTCATGTTGCCCTCCTCCTCTGCCACATCTAGCGCTGCCATGGCTGCCACCAAGAAATGGCATACCAGGAGGTGAGTGAGGGGAATTCTTACAGCCATTTTGGCCACTGGAGTGGAAGGTGAAGTGGTTGAAATGGTAAAAAAGAACTTGGTGTTGAAGTGTGGAGTAAGATTGGTTGTTATATATTAGGGAAAATGCCCAAGAAACTCGGCAGATCTTAATGTGAGATGCTAGAGACAGAATTGGTCAAGTAGATGGGGAGCAGGGGAAAGAATGTTCTTTATTTGGTCTTGTGGTTTGGAATTCCATTCAAGGCCGAAAATTCTTTGTAGCCACATCAATGTTTCAAATGGGAAGATGGTTTCTAGTACTCAATGGTTGAACCATCGTACTAGTAAAATCTTATACCGATTTGGGCTCCGCTAAACAATATTTTCGATCGAACTGCCGGTACGTTTTTTGCAAACCGTATTTCGACATCCATTGAGAAGCCTAATTATAACGTCATATGATTGGATTATTATCGATTAATATCATTTCTCTGAACCATCCAATAGTTATTCCAATGGATCAACAAAAGCTTCAACCCTTGCAAATTGGTGAAAGGAGGGACTTCAGTGTCTAATCCATCCCTTTTCACTCAACGACTGTTCATGGTGCTCTGCCTCCCACAAATGGGATCTCAATAACCTTCACCTTCCTATAAAATATAAATCCCTATTCCCTCACATGCATTTCCTCATTCACGACTCTTTTAGATAATGTCTCAAACTAGGCCAGGAAAAGCTTTCTAACTCTTGATCGGCTCAGTGGTCAGCCCGAATCCAAATGGAAACAGAGGGTCGTAATGTGCATCACCCACGTTCATTGGAAGCTGACTGACTGACCTGAACCAATTTCTGGCCAGCTTTCCAGTGAACCCGTAATCGCCGAACAGAACATCGGTAACGCCCTGGCCTTCGGTTCCAGGGAGCCAGGCTGCGACGAGAGCGTCGATCTTGGCTAGGTACGGCTCGATCACTAATGGCCTTCCTGAGATCACCACGACGACGCACTTGATGGAGCCACAGACATTGTTGATTGTGGTCAGCCCAGCTGCTGGAATGGTCAGGTTCAAGCTGTCACCCTGAGTCTCGGCGTATGGTGGCTCGCCAACGACCACGATGGCGTAGGAGAACTTGCTGGACTTGACGAAACTGGCGTCTGGTTGCTCGCTGTAGACGACTTGAGTGGAGGGAGCAACCGCGCTCTTCACTGCTTTGAGGATTGTGGTTCCTGTTGATTTTCCAAGGAATCATTTCCAAGAGAGTTAAATTCTGATTGTGAAATTGTAACAAAAAAAAAAAAAAAAACACAAACAAAATTGTTCCAGAACAGGAAACATACCAGATGTCAGATCATTTCCAGTTTGGCCTTGCCATGTGATGGTCCATCCTCCACATTGGTTCCCCAAATTATCAGCATGGCTTCCTGCCACAAGAATCTTGGCTGCTTTCTTAGGAAGAGGTAACAATGGCTTATCAGCAGTTTTGCCATTCTTTAACAGCACAAGTGACTTCCTCACAGCTTCTCTAGCTAAATCTCTATGCTCCTGTTAGAAACAGAGATTATGTTAGAAAGAAGCAAGGATTCTAGATACCCATTTGGACCAAGGGTTTAGTGATTGACCTGTTTCCCAAGCTCATTGACCATACTGAGATCAGCCAGTGGCTTCTCAAACAGTCCCATGACGAACTTGACTCTCAGGATCCTCTTCACAGCATCATCAATCCTGCTTACAGGAATGATCCTGTTCTTCACTTGGTAGATCATATCGTTAATCAACTCTGTATAGTTGTAGGCAACCATGATCTGGTAACACAAATAGAACCCATTTCAGGAAGAAAAAAAAACCAGTACAAAGGTGACAATGCTACTTAGCTTAGTATGTTAGCAAGCCAAGCTAGTAGTAATACCATGTCGATTCCAGCGCCAACTCCTGCTGTAATGGAAGAGCTGTAATTAGCATGCGGTGGAGAAGTGATCCTGTCGATTCCCTGCCAGTCCGAAATCACGAATCCCTGAAGAAAACAAACAACACAGAGAGCTTTAACATTAGCATTCAATCTATTACCAAACATTGGAAAGGAATTCATCAGAAAGTGCTGCAATTCCTTCTCACCCTGAACTTGAGTTTGTCCTTGAGGAACCCTGTGACGAGCTCGCGATTGGCGTGCATCTTCTTCCCGTTCCAGCTCGAGTACGAAACCATGATCGTGGCCACACCTTTGCTGATGGAGTTCAGATACGCTGGCATGTGGATGCTCATCAGTCCATTCATGGAGATAACAGTGTTGTTCTCGTTGATCCCCTTGGTCGTGCCACCATCTCCCATGTAATGCTTGGCACAAGCTGCAACCTTGGTCCTATTCAATGCAATCGTATGTCAAGCAATTTCAAATACTAAATGTTCAAAATTTTACAAAAAGAAATTTACTCTTAAGTTATTATTGTTCTGTTTAAATTCTGCATAATGCACATACATACATGAATAAAAATCACTATTCACTAACATACAAGCTCTGCATAAGTAGAACACACACAAATCGTTGGATCGAGTAACACATTGTTCAATGACATCCGACGACTATAAAGACACGAGCCCTCGATCCAACGACTGTCCTGCATTCATTGGCCTGCTAATGCATAGAGAGAGGAAGGTCCACAAAGTGTCCCTCCTGACTAGGTTTGGAACCTTCACGAGTTGAAGACCACATTTACACCACTACAGAACACAGAGAGAGGTCCCCAGAGAAGGTCCACAAAACCGGATTGCATGTCTGAAACGCAACTCCATAGCAGACCCAATTGGCCATTAAAGAAAAAAAGGGGACATTTTTATTGAAAACAGTGGACTCAAAGGTCCTACATTTCAATTTTCAACTGCAATCAAGTTAGCTAAAGTCATTGATGACACCATTTTTTTCATATCTAGACAACTATAAGGCCCACACAGCCGAATGCGACACCATTGTTGGTTTCCTCTTATCTCCGCGTTTAGCCATGGTTATACTCTTAAAAAATCTAAGAGCTTTGACTGTTCTGGAAGCATTGAGAACGTGGAAGTCGGTTAGATTCTGTCATTTTGTTAATACGTGCCAAAAGCTCTCAATCAGAGGTAAACGTTTGTTTTGGTGTATGCACACAAAGACAAGTTGTAAGCAAAGAACGACTTTGCTACCATACTGGATGATAAAGGTAAAGCATTAACATGGATCTACACATATTCAAATTGCACATCCCATGATTTCGATTGTCGAATGTATAATGACATATTCGACTCAACGATAATCCGACATTGTCACCTAACGTTAACTACAACGTTTAAATAACATCAAGATGGTAAAATTCTCGACGCAACAACACGAAACCGCAACACTCCCTCGCCATGGTTGAGTTGGTACTCTTGACTCTTGAACAAGGTGGGGAGGAAAATATGGAAATGCAGAGCATCTGACCAAAGTCAGACCAGACCATCAGCAGCACGTGGTCATGAATATGTTATAATGCTTATCTATCCCTAGGAACCCCCAAATGCACCATTGGATCAAATATTCAAATGGGAAACAAGAAGATTAACAACTCTACTTAATACTAATCAACTAAGACTTAGCCAAAGATCATCTTTTTGAAAAAAGCAAGGTATGGGGACAAAAAGGAGATCATAGATTTTACCCTCCATTATCAACAAAGGGGACACCCTTTCTGGAATTTGCAGGGAGATCTCCTTGTAGACCGGGTATGATCTCTGTCATCTTTTGAACAATGGTGTGATCCTCACTGTAGCTCTCGTAGCACCGACCCCATCTCGGATCTCTGCAAACCTAATTAACAAAACCCCCCCAAAACCCAAAAAAGGTTGATTTCACCATCATTAGTGGGTAATCAACTAATCATTAATTACCCAGTTGGGTATTTTAAGTAGTTAATGACTTACAGCAATGCATGGAGCAAAAGCATATGGTATCCCAGTTGCTCTGACTTCCTTAGCAGTTGCAGCTCCAATCTTTTTTATGAGCTGGGGATCCCTGGCAGAGGTGAAATTAACTCCAACTTATTACTAATTTGTTGATTAAGCTACTTATTGAAGCATTAAGAGAGTTAAAGTTGAGAGCTTTCATGCCTTGTGACGCCGAGTCCAACATTGTGAGGGAAAATGGTGGCGTTGTAGACATTGTTGTGGCCATGAACAGCATCAATCCCATAAATCATGGGGATTCCTAGGCGGGTGGACAGAGCTCCCTTCTGGAGTCCGTTCACCGTATTGACCCAGGCTGCAGCCGACGCCTTTGGAGATGGAACGCTGCCTCCACCGCTCAGCACACTCCCTGCAGCACAGTAATTTCCAAAGTTCAAACCATGAGAAATTTGTTTTGCATTTAGGGTCAGCTTGATTTGAAGAAGAAGAAGAAGAAGAAGAAGAAGAAGAAGAGGGTTTTTTTTACCAAGGTAGTAGTTCTTCATGACATCAGAGGATGCGACGGTGAGATCAATCTGGACCATCTGGCCGATTTTCTCTTCCAGGGTCATTCTCTTGACCAGGTCTTTGATTCTGGCTCCAACGGGCTGTTTGGGGTCTTTGTACTTCAAGTAAAGAGGTTTCGCCCCAGCTGCTGCAAATGAGCTGTTGCAGGATACTAGTACTAGAAGAAGAAGTACGCAGCAAGTAGAAAACCATTGTCTCTCCATTTCGGCGAGAAATGTAGATCTAGCAAACCTCGCCCTCGCTGAAAAACAGAGAACCCAAGTAAGAGAACAGAGTGAAACAGAGTAGAGAAAGGGAGGAGCTCTGCTTAGGTAATGGAACAGAGCAGCATTGATGAACTCACAACAACCCAATTCCTGGAAAAAAAAGTTAAAGAAAGCTACTTTTGAGATTGGCAACTGCAGCTAACAGCCTACATACATGATGGAATCGAAAGCTAGGAAATTTTTTGTACTAAAAATTGAACAAACTGAAGCTGCTGATATCACAGATAGAGAGAGAGAGAGAGAGAGAGAGAGAGAGAGAGAGAGGGCATCAATGGAGGGAGGGGAAGGGAAGGCGTCATGATTTTTACATTGGAGAGTGTGATTCTCTGTGTCTTCTTCTTCCTCCTTGGGACGAGGAAGGGCAGCTGCTTGCTTGCTTCTTTTGATACTCTGTGAGATATACTTGTTCTGCTTCCCAGGTTCACAATTTATACACTCTTTTTTTACTCTCCTTTTTGCAGTTGGTTTTGTTACAGCGCTGAGAGAGAAAAATATAGGGAAATTAATTTCCTTTTTGAGTAGAAAAGATAGGAGTTAATTGAGGGTTGTACACTTGTACTCATCAATTAGGAGCTAGAGCCATGTCCATGAGTCCATCCATGTGTACTGGTGGACTTTCCATCTTAATGATATGTCTGCTGGTCTCTTTTTTGCCACTAGTTTGTGCCTGTGGCCTGCTATGACCGGTAATCGGTCGGTCAATTATCCGTTAATCGAAAGGCGAGCCTCCAACCGACAATCGACCGAAATAGATTTCGAATATCTCGGTTATCGGTTAATCGTACCTCTTTCAAGATTAAAACCATCTCATCCAGCTTCCGATAACCGATCTAATGACGGTTATATCGATTATTGGTTAGTGGATAATCGACCGGTTATCGATTTAACCGACCGGTTAACCGGTAACCGAAACTCCATCCCTAGCTATGAGCTAGTATTTGGTTTTTCTTCCTGTTACAAAATTGTTTGACGATCCAAGTAATTGATCAGTCCGTCGTCATATTTACTTTCAATCATACTAATATCACAACAATTTGGATATCAGATACATAAATTCTTGTCTTAAAAACTCTTAACCCGCAATCTTCTTCCTCTCATGGTCTCATATCGTTAATCACTCTCCAGCTAACTGTCACCAGTATGTTCCTCTCATCTTCTTATCTCGGTTCTTGAATCAAACTAAAAGACGGATTTGTGATTCGATCGATTCTCAGATGATTCTGTTTGCTCTTAAATCTTAATAACATGATGATGTGTCTTTCAGTTTTATCGGATGTCCCGAGAGAACACATGATGTGTGCTCTTATTTTTTGGAGGAAAACATGATGTGTCCTTCAAATATTACAAGTCAAGCTTCCAAATCTTAAAGACGGCAAGTTCGTACTACTGTCTTCAACTAACAAATTCAAATATTCGAATGGGCCGGCCCAAGCTCAAAGGCCTAACCCACATCCTACGGACTCGCCTTCCTTTCCGGTTTTAGGCCCGACTTCAGTATTTTAAAGGCCCATGGACTCTTATTACAAAACGATCCAATCGATCCACATACTTAACTACGCAAGTAAGACCCAAAACTCAAACAATGGGAGAAGGAAGGAAAAGGGGAATGATGCTTCCTGTGCTAACCTGTAAGATTATTGCTACGTATCCCTTGCTAGCCAAGCAACAAATCAATCCCCGAGAAAGCCGCGATCCGCGAATCTCTACTTCCATGCATCTCAACTAAGGTTCTCAACCCGCGGGTTGACCGGACCCGGTCGAGCTAGTGGGTTTAGGGTTAATGGGTCAACTGTTTTAGTCCGGTTTAGCCTGGAAATATGAAAAAGGTCATTATATTGTACTTATCCTCATAAATTATATCAAATCTTATCTAACATATGAGTTATAACATATAATATTACGCCAAAATAACATATTGTATGTAGATCCAACATATAGTGAAAATTCACACACTTATATAACATAAATATTCAAATGTTCAACTTAGCATTTCAAAAATTGAGCTAGGCGAAAAGAAAAATCGGAAAATAGGCGCATTTCGCAAACCAAAGAAAAAAATGATACAATTTGACCTCCAAACCGGTACCTTGTAGCGGTCGACCCGGCGGGTGCGTGCGGCCCGTTTTTCTCACCGGGTCAGGGTCAAAGTGAGTCGAACCACGAGTTAACAACCTTAATCTCAACACATTAACAAGTACACTATTACGTACAAAAGCATGCACCGTCCACCATTATCCAAATTTTCCGGCGACTGTAGAGCTATAACACCAGATCAAAGTTAAGGGATTCTGGCACATGTGTATTAATTGTTACTGTTGTGTAACGCTGTCGGCAAACTCGTCGAAATCTGAGCATTATAAATCCCGGCATTGTGGAAGCAAATGAGAGAGAGACAACAAACAAAACAGTCCCACTCCTTCCTTCCTCCTTCAACCTTATCCAAATATCCAATTTATTATCCTAGCTTGTAACATATGGCTGCCGCTTCTTCTGCTCTCCCTACAGTTTCTCCACTACTGTCGTTCGTTTCTAAGGCTAGCACGACTGTGACACCAGCTCCAGCTGTTGTTACTACCAGTTATAATAGGAAGCCGATGATGATGATAAGCTGCGTCGCCGCCGTCGTCAAGGCTCCGATAAGGCGGTCAACCGGTGGCGGTGGCGGTGGTGATGGTGGTCTCATTCCGTATCCGATCTTCGGCAAAGGTGGTCGGAAGGACTCGATCGAAGGGGATGGCGGCCTGATTCCGTACCCCATTTTCGGCAAAGCTCAGAAGTGATCGTATTTTTTCCTTTCCTGTGATAAACTGATAATAATAATAACTAGGTAAGAAGCCCGCGCTTCGCGGCGGGTTGTTTTTCAAAGTGTTGATATCGGGACTGTTTGAATGATTTAAAACGGATTGTTTGATGGCACAAAAAGTGTTTGGTAAATGGCTATATTGAGAATTACTGAACTATAAAAACTCGAAGCAAAATAAAATAAGTGACTGCTACGGACATAAAAGAGTATCCAATTAACCCAATGGAACAATGAATGTGCTAACTGGCATTCAAATGAAAGTCAGGCTCTTAAATTTTGACTAAGTTCAGCATTGATACATGACCGGTTTAAATGAAAGCAAGACAAATCAAGATTATGAAGCACTATAGCGGCTGACCTAACCTTTCCTACTGATTTGAAGAGACTTCATAATTCTAGTGTCTTTTACTAATCCACCTTCCCTTGAAACTCCAAGAGCTCAACCTTCTTTACGTGGCTGTAGGATTGCAGCAAGGATTAAACCAACCACACATACAGAGGTTGTAAGAAGACTGGTTGAACATGACATGAAGTAAAAGGAAATTAATTAGTCAAACTGAGAGGTCCCGAGGCAAAAATATATGTAGGCTATAGCCCTTACCTCTTTGCATAAATCTATAATGTCAGTGAATGACACCAATTTGCTGTAGTTTTCCTTAACCAAGACATGATGCCAAAACATATGTACTTGTATTAATCCTGAATTGTAGGCATGATTGGATTAGTGAGCTCAATCCTTATTCTAAAAGCATAATATGAGTAATAGATATATGGTTAGTAAAACTATTGTTCATCTTGTATTATTACCGAATTGCAGGCATGATCGGAATAGTGAGTTCAATCCTTGTTCTAACAGCATAATATGAGCATTAGATATGTGGTAACTAAAGTTGTTCCAAGAGCTCAACCTTCATCTTGTAGAACATGTTGTAATGAAGAATATCGACACTCCTAAGAACCCAACTGACACATCAAAACCAACGAATCTTGATAAAATCACACTGATAGTGTTATAGATTACCACACAATTCATGTCCAACTGAATTCTCCAACATTCGTGCATCTGTCTACAAACCTAAATAGATTTCTAGGAAGGCTCATACAATGGAGCTTACAACAGCAAACATAAAGGCAACAAAACTTGCAAACAGTGATGGCCACCAGACTAATGTATCGAGCAAGATTTGACCTTTCAGTTCTTTTACTGTAATACTAACTACAACAGATTATGGATGAAATTAGATAAAACATTATTCATCTTTAATCTCTGTAAAAGGTTTGAGAAAGGGCAAAAAAAAAAAAAAGGTTAAGTTACATGGTCAATCTTAAAACCAAAATGGGAACGGAATAACGAAGTCAAAGTGTAAACTCTAGTTACCTTGAGCTGGGTTATTTCGGAGTCTTAAAGTCTTTGGAGTGTGGGACTAAAGCCATAAAAATGCCTGGAAGGTGCTATAGAAGGTTAAAAAGCACCAGTTGCAGGTCTTCAACTCGATCCCAATAACATGATTTGTCTGTTATGGTTTCCTTCTTTACTGAAACCCAAACTTGTATTGCTTATTTGTTTGAAAAGCAATCAAAACCTCAATGCTAAGAAGTTTCAAAATGAATCCAATCATATCTAAACAACCATTGCAAGGAAGTACCTTGTAAAAAAAAGATTAAGTTGGAACCAGTGGGTGAAGACTTTCGAAATGTGTTGTTTAGAAGGTAAGCACCCAAACTGAGTAAGCTAAACCTGTGAATCACTGAGCAATTAAACAGTTAAAGTATGGACACAGGAAAAAGGATCTAGGTTGAATGTGCAAAGCGGTAAAAGAACGTAATGTTTACAGCAAAATTTCATATGTCAAACAATTCTAGATTTGCTCTATACATAAAGCTCTCACTATACCAATGTTATGATTTGCAAGTTCATTGGTAGTAAAGATGTAACAATCAGCCTTCCACCACTATCTAAATGTAATCCTACACATTTTATTAATTACAAATCAACCCAAAGATGGTACATCTATAGATCAATTAAATCTACTAATTGCAGTAAATTTCGTATTGAGATTGTGACCAAGAATGGTCGGTTACCTCAGCATGAAGCTTGAAATCTCTTTGGAAGTGTTGTGACCTGTCCACGCCTCTAGATTTTGACCTTCTAGGCAGGATCTTCGCTTTAGAGTCTGAATTGATAACAGTTGTGTGAGGCTTCCCCTCATACCACTATTGGTGAAAGAAAGAAACTCCTTTCAGATTATGCACAAATGACTATCATCTCTGAAGGATTACTTGTCACAGCTTGATCAAGATGTTGAGTATTCCTCCAGTAATATAGTCACTGCTATAAGTTAGTCATGGTGTCCAATGCCTGCGTCAAAGCATCCTCACCAGTCAATCGCTTCTTAAATCCAGACTCAATTGAAAGAGAAGCACCATCTAATTCATACTACTAATCGACTGCAACAGAAGATGTCATCAATGAACAAAAGCTTAAACAAATACCAAGCACATTGAGCAAAATATTGGACGAAATTGCACCCTAAAAGTCCAGAATGAGATCAATAGGTAAACTCTAAAGGAAAGCAAGACAAAATTGAACAACCATAAATTTGATGATACTCAGCAAGAACATTAAGCAAGAGCAAGATATCAAAACACATAATATGATTAAAAACTAAAAGGAAATAAAATTTAAAAGCCACCTAGAACATTTCCTACCTTTGCCAGCCAGCTACGTTGGTGCTGTCGTTGCTGACA